TTCTTGTCTTAGCAAATCTTTATTTATTTCAATTTTTTTAATAACATCTATTACACTTCATCTTGGTGTATATTAGATTGAGTTGGTGAATTATGAGTATTAGCATATTCATATTCATATTTGGGTATTGGAATAGTTGGATCTTGTTTAATGCTCGTTAAATGAATATTTATAGGTATTGTAGGGCTAAATCGATCTAAAGATCTTCTAACCATATTAAAAGTGGATAAGGATGACACGAGTTTTAAAAGACCTAAATCTCCTTAGTGGAGTAAATACTACTTTCATTGTTCCTTATTTGTATTCAATTATATCTTCTAATATTACAGGTTCATGAGTTAAAAGATCTTCAAGTCTCATTTTAAACCACTAGTTATTTCATTATGTTTTAAAAATTTTGGAACTACTGCATTTACTTTTTCTAGATTTACTAAGAGTAAAATAGTTTCATCTTTTGGAGACATCAATAATGCTCCAAGAGCTAATCGAGTTTTCATTACTTTATAGTATATTCTATATACTATAGTAATTGGGAACGAATTTTGATTCCATTCGTCTTCTAGCATTTTTATATCTAACATAATATTATTAGTAATATTATGGAAGGTTTTAATAGATATTGAATAATTTGGATAGTTATTTATATAGATAGGACCTTGAGGTAAACTTGTTTCAAACATGACCAAAATTTGATTTTCAAGTTTTATTGGCCTATTATCTCTTAAAGTTGCAAACATAGGTGTGTCCATTCCTAAACTAAACAAAGGTCTTATGACTACTTGAATAGATCTTATGTGGAGTATATCTTTAACTTAATTAGGAAAGGTCCATTTAGAAATTTGATGTTCTATTTCTGGAATTATTAATTCATGATGAATTATATTGGAATTAGCTTCTTCTACTTGTTCAAAAATTAAGTTATCTTCCACCTTTTCTTTTCCTTTACACTTTTTTTCGGGGAGAGGAAGGAACAGAAGAGAATAAGATAGAATAGGTGAGAATTGATTTGATAGAATTAGGTAAGAAATTGAGTGAAATAGAATGGAATTTGTAGTTGTTTAGTGGAGTGGAATTAAGTGAAAAATAGAGTGAATTTGGTATTTACAATTACTATTTTACTCTCACTTTATAATATAATTAGAATTAATATCTTTTGCATTATGTAATTTTACACATTTTCCAAAATTCACAAGAATCCCCAGGATTAGACAACATTTTTATTAATCTAGACATCTTAAGGCCAAGGAGTTAGACCTAATGGGACGACCACAGGATTAATTGTCGCTTCTCTAAATTAACAACCTACACCAACTGACCAAATACCAGACTAATTAACCTCTCTCCTAAGTTAGGTTCGATTAACAAAATGTTTTCTTTAAAAAAAGATTAATTTTCTAAAACTTAATTATTTAACAAGTAGAAAATTCAATTCAAGATTAATTCAAATTTTTAGCCAACAAAAGTTTCTTTCATATTTATAAGAATATCTTCACTGCCATGCAAATTTTTTCAAGTAAGACTAATACCAAATGACATAAGAGGCACAATAATTAAAATGAAAGTAAAAGAATATATATATATATATATATATATATATATATATATATATATATATATGTGTGTGTGTGTGTGAGAGAGAGAAACACAACACATGATGCCTTAATAATTTTGTCATTATATAAATGAAGTGATAATAATACTACATATTAGATGTCATAACTATTTAATGATATATTTTTAATCTAAATACATGTTTTTATAGTGAATTATATTGATTAATTTTGATATAGAACACACACACATATAAATATATATGATTCACTAATAAATTTATTTAATTTAATAATTCATGTTTTATATCAAATTTTAACAATTTAATTGTTAAATTAAAACTTTTTAATGCATAAATTAAGTTTGTAAATTTTTTAAAAATTAAAATCATTTAATACTTCATTTTATTAATTCAAACCGATAAATAATTATAAAAATATTTTATGTACTAATTTGAATTAATGAAATAAAGTGTCAAATAATTTTTAATTTTTTAAACAATTTACAAATTTAATTTATGCATTAAAAAGTTTTAATTAAATAATTATATCATTAAAATTTAATATACAACATGAGTTATTGACTGAAATAAACGTAAATAAACTTAAAGTAGATTCTTCCTCATATATATATATATATGTGTGTGTGTGTGAGAGAGAGAGAGAGTGAGAAGAAAAAAAAAGACATTTTATATCCTTCCGTATTTAAAAAATAATAATATAGCAAGTGACCTAAAAGAGTGATTTGTGATGTTAACCGTTAAGTAAAATAAAAAAGAAAGGGGAAATTAAATTAAAATAAATAAATAAAATACTACACGCAGTTGTAATTATAAAATGATCCTAGAAAATTGTGTACACTACAAAGAGAATATCCCTTTTATCAGCAAGTAAACACACATCTGCAGTAGCTAAAGTATTTGTGGTTAAGGTTGCTGTGAGGTTTTACTTTTATAGCAATACTATTATGTCTATCAACCAAAGTTATCGCTGAAGAGGTAGAGACTCTTAACGTACCTCTGGGTGAACAACCAAACAAACCACTACTACTGCTGGGGGTTCTGGACGATGAACCAAGTGAACTAGATCCACATACATACATCACAAAGGAAAGGTTATATGAAAAACTTTAATATAAAATTTGAATCATATAATCTTCTTAATTAAAAAAAACAAATTTCTAAAAAATATTAAAATAAATAAAAATCTGAAAATCTAAATAACATTCTAAAGATTATAAATTTCTAAAATAATTCCTTAAATTTTCACTTACTCAATTTATTTGAAATTTGAATTATTTTCTCAACAAATCCTCCCTTAATTAAAATTTTCAAATAACTAATTGATCAAAACATTTATCATCTCAAAACTTGTTCTTTCAAATAGCAAAAAAATTTCTCATTTTTTTATCCTTGTAATATCAAGTGTCTCTCTTTGTACACTTTGGATCCCAATTTTGAACCAACATGCATATAATCTTGTGATGTCAGCTCTTCCAACTCTTCCAATAAAATTTTATTGGATACAATAAGAGGTATATATCTCACATTTTCAAAACTTTAGATGATACCGTTGTTAAGTTTTATTCTCATAGTCTCAATGCCTTGACCTCCATTTTTTTCACTATTTTTTAACTTGAATTGACCAAATTCACCATTAGTTTTTAAAGTGTGAAACATTGTTTAGTTTCTACAAATGTGTTTTGAGGCAACAAAATCTATTACACATTTTGATTTAGCAACTTCCTCAATAGCTACCAAATAGACATTTTTATCATCATGAAGGTTTTGGATTATATTAGCTTGGGAGTTGTTATCATCTCCCCTCATAATTATCAATTTTTGAAGGTCATTTCTCATTTCTTTACACATTGATTGCACGTGACCTTTCTTCCCACAGTAATAACCTTGCACGTTACTCATATATCATTATAAATGTGATTGAAAATTTGATCTTCCTCTAGGCCCATCTTGTCTTCATAAATTACTTCTTTCTTGCTCAAAATGTGACACAACTAGTGCATGATCTTTGGTATCAATATTCTTATTGGTCATCATTCTCTCATTTTCTCTTAGAGTGAATGTCACTTCATTAAACTTCAATGATGTTTTTCCTACAAGCAACATTTAAACTAAAGATTTATAAGACTTTAATAGTGAAGCTAACAACACTGGTTGCTTTTCATCAAAAACAAATTCGTTTACATTTTGCAACTAACATACTAGTTGGTTGACATGATTAATGTAATTATCAATATTTTATCTCATCTCCATTTTGAGTTGATACAACTCCGTCTTCAAAAATAGGTGATTGATTAACGACTTAGACACATAAATGCTCTCAAGTTTCTCTCACAAAGCTTTTAGTATTGTCTCCTTTAACACATTGCACTTGATCTCGAAGTAAGAGCCAACTGAATCATGTTCATGACCTTCTTTTGTATCCGACTCACTTCTCAGTCATTGATAACATTTAACTTTTCATCTTCCAAAGCTTGATCAAGACCTTATTGCACTAAAATATCTTGAATGGTACTCTACCAAATCATAAAATTTGTTTTACATCAAATAACAATATCTCACTTGTGTTTCTTGTCATAGCTCTAATGTCATTGATGAAAAAAAAAATTCTCATACAATAAGATTACTCACACATCAAAAGATCTTAAACAAAACACATACATATTTTATTTTTTTGACTCTTTATATATAGAGTAAAACTATAATACAAAATTTGAATCATATAATCCTCTAATTAAAAAAATAAAAAAATCTCTAAAAGATATTAAAATAAATAAAAATCTATAAATCAAAATAATATTCTAAAGATTACAAATTTCTAAAAATACCTCTTTAAATTTTCACTCACTTAATTTTTTTAAAATTTAAATTATTTTTCCAACAAGGTTTTCATCAAATGGAACATTTTCGAGATGGTCCACCTTATTTGCTCCCTTGTTTTCACTAGTGCTTAATCTATGGTCACATCTGGACGGGACAAAAAAATCCATGTTCAGATTTAATTCTTACTCGAAATGTAAACACAATTTTCGACACATTTTATGTAAATTTAATTAAATAATTGGTTGTCCAATTTATTCAATGGGACCCAAAATTCATTCAATAGTATTGTAGTAAGAATGTATAAGAAATGCTAATATTTCTTTTCATTATACTGGTTAAATTTCAAAAAAAAAAAAAAAAAACAGTCTCCATATTGTTTGTTACCCTCGGCCTCAAGTCCACGCTGACCCACGACATTCAAAAAATGCGGGTTTCTACTGCTTGTTGATTGCTGATAGTCATGAAATTCATAAAATACTAAAAACCGTACCTCTCATATAGATTAAATAACAATTCACAAATATTACCAATCATTTTCCAGATTCGGTCGCTCGAAACAAAAGGAAACTAAGTAGAGCTAGTTTATCATTTGCCTACAACACAACCATAACAAATACTATAACTTCTCATCTACTATTTCGCTTCTGTTTAATAAATCGTTACATTAAAATCCAAAGCCCCGATTTACACTCGATACAAAATTGAAAAACTTTACACCAGTTTTGCCTAGTTGATCAGAAACAGAGAGCAAGTATCCAAGAAAGTATGTTTGGAGTACAAAAGTACTTGTAGACAGGCAATGGACATTAAAATTCCATAATTAGGCTTAAACAGTGAAATAAAATGACTATTGAGGGTTGGGGCAAATAACAAGAGATAGTCAATTACTGGGATCCTTTAACAACTAATTTTCATGTCTAAATACTAAGTAATTACAGTTCCCTTGCATGCTAATCAGTTTCAGCAACCAATCTCTTCAGACCTGAGACCATAAGAAAAAAGACAACTGGGTAAGAAAACTTACCAACCGCTCAAATAGTGACTGTTTACAGTTGCGAAGACACAAATTCAAGGAAAACAATGAAATTATTGAATATCAGTATAGATAAATAATAGAGGGAAAAAAAAGGGTAATAATAGATATTTTAGTGGGGTCTAAATATATACAATCGTAATAATTACACATTTTCGGACTAGATTGACCGATCAAGACGCAAAAGAGGGAAGGGAAACATGTTGAGCAAAACAACAAAGAATCATGATCCAAAAGAAGGCATCTTACCAGCATACAGGCAGTTAAACCTAGCAGCATGAAGACCAAAATCAAAGGTTCACTAAAACCTTGTCATCTGCTGTAGCATTTGAGAACCAGATGAATGAGAAACCATTTGCTCTGAACTCAAGGGTCTTACTATGTGGTGGGCTCCCACAGAAGTAGGATTAGAAATGCCCTGTCTACTCATTTCTTTGGAACTGTTAATACTAGACTCAGAGGGCGAGGATTCCATCAGTGTGCGAATCTGATCATTGAAAGATTAGCAAGCAAGAAAAAACATATCAATTATATTATTGTCCAATGGAAGAAGTACATAGATCAATCGTATAAAAGAATCCTCCAAACTCACCACATCTAGGCGTCTTTTGTGGAGTTCATTTAATTGCTGCACGTTTGAAGCATAGCATGTAAGAATCCAATTATTATAAGATTGATTCTTATTCAGGGAAAGGGGGACAGCAGGGGAAGAGAGAGAAATGCTTTATTGCTTACAGGTTTGCTCTGATACTTCTTCTCTTCACTTGAATATCCTGGAATAGTTAAATCCCAATTTTTCTCTGCACAGTAACACAGCAAAAAGATAAATCACCAAAGCTGTGATGTCAATTCTTTTATCAAATCAAATAATAATAATAATAATAATAAAATGTTTTCAATACAAGCATTCAAGTTTCAACCTCATTGAAGATATCAGGGAACTCCACGATCTTCAATTATTCATACAAGCTTCAAATATGTCCACTAAACTATGTTTAAAATGAAATTCTAAAGCTGGACTTGGCACTATTCAACATAATGTATAACTTATCTAGTCTTCCAGTAACCCAAAGAATAGGATTCAAAGTTCAAAAACATATATTAGACAAATATGTTCAAGAAAGAGACAGCAAGGTAACTCCCCCCACATCTATTTGCATGAGTCAACAATATTCAGATGAATAGAGCATATTTAACCACTTAGACAAAATCCACAAGGGGGTGCAACTCTTCATCACTTGAAAGCAATAAGATTCATATATGTAATTTTTTTTCCTTTATTAGCCAATTAAAGTAGCCAATATTACTCCAATAGTAAAATCTGTGAAAGAAGTTACAATTCATTAGACTAAATCACTTTGAAATATGCAACAGTTCTTTCTTCTTCTGGACGGGTGGGCCAGTGGACTAAAAATAAGCTACGAACCCAACATACCTAGGTGTAGCAATAAATCCTTGGACTCCAAAGTTGACGACTTTCTGTGTTTCGCCAAAATGCAACCATGTGTAGTTGTCTGCATATAAGAAAAAGATAAGTTTATACAGAAATACAAAACAATCTTAGCTAAAACACAAAATAATCAACAGAACATTTAGCATGAAAATTGAAAACAAAGAAATAGAATACAAGACATTTGCAAAGTAGGTATTGTCCAAGAAAACTACCCGTAACTGCCATTAAATAAAAAACAAGCACTCATTATATAAGAACTAATAGGCAAAATTCAAATTTTCTCACTTTTAAGTGACTTATTTACTATGCAGAAAACTAGGGGGTGGGGGGAATCCTGCATCATCATGACAAGCACAAAAAAGTGCTGAAGTAGTTATATACTTGTATTATTGTCTATCAACAACTCAAGCACATGAAGGAGCAGCAGTATATTTTTAGCCATTAAAAATAAAGCTAAAAAATTGTCAATTAGATTATCATGTCAAATAATCACTCAACCTAAAAGATTATACTGTAAAGTGAGGGACAGGTATGGATCTAACAGAACATATAACATCAACAATATCCAGAATCCAGAGTTAAGAAATTATTAATCCTTAAAACTGAAATCAATATGCATGCTTACAAGTCTTATCATAATAAAATCAATCCATTCAATTCAACCACTTCACTAATAATAAATTCCTTCATTTTGGGGAAAGCCTTTTTTCACATAGTGGTTCCTTGTCCTGATATTTAAAGTCAAGGGCCCATTCCCCTTTTGATCCCATTAGGTATCTCCCTAGTTACCAAAAGAAAAAAGTCCTTTAAACTATGAATTTCAGATATAGGATAAATTTGAATAAGTAATAAAGCAGAATCATTCGATGTGATATATTTTAAACAAGACATGTGACATGTGAGGCATATTATCACCTGTTTGGCATGCACATTTATCATGATTGGGAAAAAGAGATAAAACCATGTTAGAATTCTTACAGAATCAATGAAGTCATCAGCAAGCTCTAAAAGAAGATCTATAACTTCCGGATCCAACCTACCCTGTGGATCCACCTGTAGGATACAAGGTTACCATTCAGAACATAACCAATAAATAAAAATTTATAAAAAAAATGACAAAAAGTTCAAAGAAAACCTGTGCAACTAAGTCTTGTATCTTTCTCTTTCCAAGGACTTGGTTCGTCGCTTCAGTTCCTTGGCTAGAACTGCCACCTGGTGTAGTTGCGCCAGATGCAGTAGCATCTGGCTGTGATCCTGTTAGGCTAACTGACTTTTGGCCTGAAGGTCCAGGCATCCTTGGAGACTGCTGCTGTTGCTGTTGATGGACAGAAGCTTGCAGCTGAGATTGTTGTTGTGGCTGCTGTTGCATAAGTTGTTGTTGTTGCAGCTGCTGAGTCTGCTGCTGTTGTTGTTGTTGCTGCTGATGCAGCTGAGGCTGTCCCATCGATTTCTGTTGCTGCATCAGCTGGGACAATTGCTGCTGGTTCAGGGTTATAGGATTTTGTTGCAATTGATTAGAAGAAGCCAGCTGCTGCTGCCTCTGATGCTGTTGAAGACGCAATGGTGAGCCAGGGCCAGACATTGCTGGCATTTGTTTAATCCACTGCTGCTGCGTTAAAGAGTTATGAATCATCGCAGGTTGTCCATTCTGAGACAACCCAGACAACTGAGAATTCATAAAAGCAAGAGATGATGACCTTGGTAAACCTTGAACCTGTTGTCAACAGCATTGTTAATGTTCTAATATGCCACAGTTCATTTTGAAAATTCTTACATATTTACAGACACTTAAACTGAAGTAATTCTTGACATAACTCCACATAACAAATTCCAGTTACAGATGAAGTATATCAAACTTCATTTAATCTTTTCATTATTACCTAAAAAAATTGATCAATTCATTTATCCCAACCAAAATTCACAAGCAAAAAACTTGTTTCATGAAAGCTAAGTGACCCAACACATTTAACTTCTTCATGAGTGAAAATATTTTGTTTTTTCTTGACTTCATGAACCATCAATATATTTGGAAAATATAATTTTTTTACATGATCAACACTTATTAACCAATTCAAGTTGCCCTTCTAATTTCTAAAGGATTGAAACCAAGGTTATCAATAACAGATAACAGCCTATGGCGGTGATCCAAAAATCCGCCTTAAACATGTGGGGGATGGCATGGCGGGGTATGGCGGACAAAAAAACTGATATATTGTATAAAAATATAAAATAAAAAAAAAATAAAAAATAAAATTAACAACAGAGTTTGAGGATGCATGACTTTGATTTTGGGTGCTTAATAGGTTAATAAAGAAAACAGAGAACAGCAGAGGACCTAATTCTGAAAATCTAAAAAAACAACTAAATTCCAAAATTTGAGAAAACATAGAACAAAAACATTGATCAAATGAAGAACAAGAACAGTCCCACAGAGAATAAGAAAGGAAAAGAGACGAGGAACATATGAAGAAACGAAGAACAAACATAAAAGGAAAGAAATGGAAGGAAGGGAAAAAACAGGGGGGAAACTGTTATGGATTGCTGGAATTGTTTGCAGGAAAAACTTGTGGAGGCTCAGGTTGCTGGCGAGGGTGGTGGCCTGACAAGGCTCACTGAAGTTGTTTGGCCACAGCTTAGGAAGCTCACGGGAGAGAAAACAAGAGAAACCTAGGTTTCTCTCTTTGTTGACACTGATGAAAGACTAATAATAGAGGCAGTACATATAGGAAATGTTTGCAGTCTGGGAAAACCCTTAAAAAGAGTTTCTGAAAAAACAAAAAGCAAAAAAGTAGGGTGGAGGAAGTTCTGCCATGAGCATTGCAAACCATCACAAAGCCATGGTCATGAATGGGAAATAATGGATGGCAGAGGGATCCAAAAATACTATGATATACCTTTATGGCAGTGCCATAATGGTTATTTGATAACATCGATTGACACCAAAAATAAAAATAAAGTGCATGACATTACCACAAGCTTCGGTTCTTTTCTTTTTGCTTTTTTTTTCCCTTTTGTTAACAGATTTGGCTATAAATCAGTTTAAGTGTGAAACAGACCTAATCAACAATCCAACTTCTAGATATGGGCAAAAATGGGAAGAAAAAAGCATCACAGAGAGACTTAACGAATAAAACAAGAAAGGTATGGAAAGTGAATCAGAGAGTGAACACAAGACAAACCAGGCAGTTCAAGGATGAAACTGTCTACCCTGAATCAGATCTTAGGTAATCTATAAATGTGAAATGGACAAGAACAGTAATTTTGAAGATAGAAGGTGGTCTGGTAAAAGTAAGGTGAGAAAAGTTGTTTACTTTGTAGTGATTTTATAAAAATTTAAAAGGTTCTTTTTTGTAGTAATTACAAAAGGTACTTTTTTATTTTGAAAAATATATATAATTACAGCTTTTCCAGAAGCTACTCAACAATAAAAGAAAAATCTATTTTTTCTGATTTTTTTCATTTTCTTCAGAAACTTAAACAATAAACAAGCACACTAAAAATCTAAAAAATATGTTTTTCAAAATAAATGTGGTTTTTCATTGTGTGTGTGCGTGCGTGTGGGGGGGGGGGGGGGGGGGGGGCGAGGAGCAGGAGGCGGTGGCGCCCGTGGGGCCCGGGGGGGGGGGGGGGGGTGGGGGGATGAAACAGTAGGCTCTAAAAGCAAACAGGACAGTACAAGATAAAATGGAAGGTGGCAAAATATTTGGTGGTTTACCAGTTTCAGTTTTATGGTTTATTTTGATAAAATAGCAAGTATCAAAAACTTTTATGGCATACATTCTCGTGACTTAAAAGCAAATGACAGGTGAATCCTGCAAGAGAGATAATTTAACATTTTATGGTATTAAGAATGTCTAACCTCTGTTGCTCTGCCCAAAATTATGAAACTAAATGAAGAAGAAAGGTAAGAATAGGATAAACATTCTACTTGGACATTGAATTACCACCTGTGAAACACTAATCCAAAACACAATGCATGCAGGAACAGTCCAAAATTAAAGCATCAAATTGGGGATTTGGGGTATGACCGACAATGTTAAAAAATAGAGAAGATATTTGGAAATCCAGGATGATGAACTTAAAAAAATTGTATCACATCTTCAAAAATCAAAAACACAGCAAACCTTGACCACATGTACATTTAGAATCTAAACTGTGTAAGAATATGACAAACTGAATATACAAAGATACATAAAGATCTTTTCCTAGTTCACTAAAATTATATCTAAATATATATAGATTATACCTGTGCAGTGTTAAGCGAACTTTGTTGTGATAGCTGCTGCCTTATTTGTCCCTGACTCATACGTAGCTGCGCATAAGCCATGGCTCCATTGGCTCGAAGTTGTGAGTTGAGATTTGGTGACCCCATCATGCCCATTGCTTGCATTCCTTGAAGTGATTGTCCAGCAGAATTACCTGAGGAGAATTGAGACGGCTGGACTAGTCCACCTTTCTGCCTTGGCTATACCAAATTGAAAATTAGTTCAGAATGAAATTGTTTTTTGATCATGGATGGCAAGAAATGCAGTGATATATCAACAATCAAAGGCATAGCCAAATTCAAGGTTGTCAAACCAATTCATATCATGAATCATCAAACTAATTTTCAATCATGAATTGTATCAAACCATAAGATTTATAGTTACAAATAAAATCATATAAAAGATTTATAGCACTCAATGTAACAATTTTAAACTAGAAAATGATTATAAGTCTCACAAAATAAAATCATAAACCATAACCAAGTGTGTGAAGTCACTATTTTAAAAAGAGTAAAAACAAAACAACAGAACAGTTAAATAGAATAAGTGAGTGATGGTACAAAGCCACTATTTCAGAAGAATGAAAATAAACCATTGGAACAATTAAATAGAGTGAATATAGTATGCACCTTTAGTTCCTTTTATTTTAACAATTTAAACTTATCTGACTTCTCTATTTCTTTGAAAGAAAAGTACAACAACAAAAGCCTTATCCCACCAGATGATGTTAGCTACATGAATTGCACAATGTCATTAGACTCTGTTAAAGACCAAATTTTCAAGGATATTGTTCACCACCCTGAGATCTCTCTTGAAAATTTCCTCTGATGTCCTTCTTGGTCTCCCTTTACCCCTTTTGACAAGGCTAAAATCATGCTATCTACCCTTCTTGCCAATGCTTCCAATGGAAATGATAAAGGAAAAAGTAAAAAGTAAAAAGGAATTCTGTGATCCGCATCTGAAACATGAGATTGTACTGATAGTCTGATTCATCCATGTATCACAAGATTCAAAATTATCTTCAACTAATCACAAGATATGAATTGCTGGCTAGTCATATTTGTATAGAATCACACAATTCAAAATGAAAATCACAAACTAGCCATACACAAAAGGTCAAAAACAATAACAAATCATATTTATAACCAACACACTTGTAACATAATCCAGCAATAACACTGCTCCGTATTATCAGGCAGCAAAAATTAGCATTATTCCAAAACAGAAACACTATTGCCCGGGAAAGATTTAATACAAAACCTATCACAAATACCTAATAACCAACCAACCACCCTCGTAAAAAGAAAAACCACAGTTGAAAAAATACTTACATAAAATAACTCAATCATTCCATTCAAATTTCAATCCTCTCTAATTCACAAAATAACAGACCAACACAACTTCTATCAAGTAACAATCAATCATGTAAAATTTGTGCCACTCTTTCATTAACAAGACCATGGCCCTGTTCGGATTAACTTTTCGAAAAGCATTCATAGGAGAACCAAGATATTTATGAACCTAATCTTTTAGCCAAGCAAGATTGTAGATGTTCTTTAAAAGTTAAATGCAAAAGTTAACTTTAACTTGTGAGAAAATTTCAATTCATTTTACCCTCTTTTTTATATATAACAAACTTCCAAGAAATTTATCCAAACAGGACCTGTATCCAAATCGCAAAGGTGTATGCAATTTAGCATTTTCAATTAAGATAGTATCTTTAAAAGTTAAGTGCCTGAGTTAATTTAAACTTATAAGAGAAACTCAACTTATTTTACTTTCTTCTTCTTTTTTTTTTACATTCTTTTTCTTTTATTATACATATAGAGAGAGACTTGCAAGAAGTTTATCTAAACAGACCAAAGATGCGATTAGCATTTGATTCCAATCACTATGAAACACCAAACACAAAACAACGAGCGTAGAGAAAACGAAGTGGAATTATACCGAGGACAGCAAGTTAAACTGCGTTCCAGCAGCGGACAGCATGGGGAAGTGCCCGCTCTGCCCCATGAGCGCCGACCGGGACAAGTTCGACCCGCCCAACTGCTGCTGCGCGCCGGCGGCGGCGCCTCCCGCGGCGGCGAAATTCATCTGTCCGCCGTACAAACCGGCCTGCTGGCGCATGACGCCGAACTGCTGCTGCTGCTGTTGTTGTTGCTGCTGCTGCTGCTGCTGGGGCTGAATTTGATTGAGGCGCGACATGGAAGGGGATCGCTGAAGCGTCTGCTGAAGTTGGAAATTGGAAATAGGGTTCATGGCCTGCGACACCAAAGGTTGTTGCTGCTGTTGCTGTTGCTGTTGCTGCTGCTGTTGTTCTTGTTGCTGCTGCGATTGGGGGAGGGGTGGGAGCGAGGGCGATGAGGGGATTGTAGGGTTGGAGGAGGGTGCGGGGTTTTGAGGGTCCATGGGCGAGGGTTTCGGAGAGGCTGATGCGGTTTCCGCCATTGTGATTGATTCAATCTCTCTCTGCTATGCTATGCTATGCTATGCTATGCTATGATGCGCATGGTTGTTTGTGATTCAACGAGCGAGCTGAGTTGAATTGAATTGAATTCAAGGAAGCTCGAAGCGGAGACTCAATCTCGCTCCTACACGTCACGTCACCGCTCCGATGCCTTCTTGCTTTCTTGCTAATGCCACTTGTTTTTTTTCCCAAATTCAACTCGCAAATCTCTTTTTTAAATTTAAATACGGGAATCAGGCCCAATTTTTAACTTATCGAAATTCATATTTTTCTTTATTTTTCTTACCATATTCGTCAAATCATTTTTTATATAATTTTATTCTGATTTTTTTCTTCAAATTTTATGTCTAAATGTTGATGCAAAATTATATAATTTATAACTACAATTAATATTTATGTAAATTAAAATAATCATCTGTTTTTTAAACACTCTATTCGTCTTATTCTTTTATTTAAAATTATTTATTTATTACAAATATTAATTATACGATGATATTGAATTAAAAATATTTATGTATTATAAATTATAGTTACATAAAATAAATAATTAGCTTATTTATTAGACAAATTAAAATTTTAGTTATAATAAAAGGAACATTTATTTTATATCTAATTTTTACCTATAATTTATAGCGATAATAATAAAGAGATTGATTCCATTTTTGTCGGACTATACATTCTTTAACTCTTTGCTAAATTATCTATTATTTTACCTTTTAACTATTCTTTAACTTATTTCTTTTATTTTGTTTTTATTTTTAAAAGAAATAAAAGAAATGCAAAATGTTTCTTTTTTCCTAATTTGATATAAGTCATTTTTCAAACCTAATTTAGCTTTTCAAAAGTCTATCTTAACAATAACAATTTGTTTAAAAAAATATATTATATAGTAAAAATATATTAAATCTATTATTTGTCTATTTAAATTAATAAAATGTAATATCAAATAATTTTAAATTTTTTAAAATTTTACAACCTTGATTTATACATTAAAAACTTTAAATTTAACAATTGAATCATTAAAATTTGATGTAAAACATAAATTATTGAATTGAATAAATTTAAACTTACTCCTAAATAAGTAGATCCATCATATTATATATATATATATATTATTTAGGATATATGTTAATAGGGTTAAGCCTTTAAATCAATAAATATATAACATTAAAACATTACGACCAATTTTAATATAATAATTATTATTATATAAAAAAATAAGTTAGAATTACACTGCCAAAAAATTAAGTTAGGATTATATTATGTGTATTTGCTTAAACAAGTTGATATGATAGATCTAAGTGACATTTCTAACGATTTATAACGATTTAAAGGTTAACCTTTTAAATAAATAGACTTTAGCTGTATAGGATTACTTTTAGCTAATTAATAGACATAATTTGACTGACTTAAGTTTAGGTCTAATGTAAGTAAAGTTATAGGTTCACAACGAGTAACTTCATATATTTTCATTGCTATAATTAATTAATTAAAAACATAAAAGATTATATTGTACAACAATACCTATTTTATATTTAATTTAAAATAATTATAAACTAAGATAACCCTCCTTATCTATACTAATCGATAAACTAAAAATAAAATAGGCTAAATACCTATTTTGCTTTTTTATAATCTTTTTTTGTTTCAATGTAGTCCCGTTTTTATTTTTGGTCTCAATTTGGTCCCAAACTAATTAATTGGTTTCAATTTGGTCCCTAATAAATTAATTGGTTTTAATGTGGGACTTCTGTCCAAATTTCTTTAATGGAGTTAACTATTGGTCACGTGGATGCTACCTAGATGCATAGGTAGATGCCACGTGGATGAAATTTTTTTTGAAAACACCTGGAACTAGAATGGCCCGTTCTGAAACCAAAACGGGTCGTTCTAGATGCGCTTTTGGTGTGTTAATTTTGCATCAGAAACAGGTTGTTCCAAATGCAAAATTTACACACCAAGAGTGCACTAGAACGATCCGTTCTGAAACCAGAACGGACCGTTCTGATTTCAGAACGGGCCGTTCTGAAATCAGAACGGCCCGTTCCAAAACTGAGAATAGAATATTATTTATTAATTTTATTAAAAAATGTAATAATTTTGAAAAATATTTTTTTATGGTTAAAATTTTAAAATTACTTATTTTTATAAAATACAATTGCCTTATAAATAGAGTAATAACTTTTTCTTTTTCTCTTTCTATCTGAAGAAATATTTAAGTGTCACTTTATAATTTTTTGTAACTTATTTAAAATTAGAGGAATAAATTGATAAAAATTAATAGGATAAACATAATAAAATTATTAATTTATTTTCTTTTAGTGTCCTTTAAATTTTTACATTCATTTAAAATAAAAATATTTTATATGTTAATTTGAATTAATTTAACGAAGTATTATATGATTTTTAATTTTTTAAATTTTTTTATAAATTTGATCTATACATGAAAAACTTTTTAATTTAACAATTAAATTCTTAAAAATTTGATATAGAACATTAATTATTAAATAGAATAAATCTATCAAGACTTACTATTGAAGTAAGTAAATTTTTTCTTCATTAAAAATGAAAATAATTTTACCACAAAATAAAAAATAATTAAACAATAAAATAAAATATATAAAAAATATTAATATATTTATTATATTAGATATAACAACATAATTAAAATATAATTAATAATGTCATTTCATCATTTACTGTATATTGTCATTTCATTTACAATATAGTGTCATTTCATCCTTTACTGTATAGTGTCAATTTGGTAGTAAGTGGTTCATCCTTTAGTGATACATTACATTGTCCTTAATAATACATTGGATAGCCTAACTGTTTAGCAATTGAAGTTATTAATTTCCATTGACAATATTACCAAATTCAGTGTTTGAAATACTTTGTACCTTAGGTCTTTTTCCTTCCATGATTCACAACCGTGAACTATAATCATTGATCGTTTATGTTTAGCAATCTAGAACCAGAACGACCCGTTCTGAAACCAGAACGAGCCGTTCTGGTTGCACTTTTAGTGTGTTAATTTTGCACCTGGAACGGGCCGTTCCGAATGCAAAATTAACACACCAAAAGTACAATCAGAACGGCCCATTCAGGTTTCAGAACAAGTCGTTCTGGTTCCAGGTATTTTCAAAAAATTGGCATCCATGTGACATCTACGTGGCATCCACCTATGCATCCACGTGACATTCACCTATGCAACAGTTAACTCCGTTAAAAAAATTTGGAAAGAAGTCTCACATTGAAACCAATTAATTTATTAGAGACTAAATTGAAATCAATTAATTAGTTTGGGACCAAAATAAGACCAAAAATAAAAGTGGGACTACATTGAAACAAAAAAAAGATTATAAAGGACCAAAATAGCCAATAAAATATGTGCTTTACCGCGGAATCCCTCGTAAATCGTAATGCATCATATCCTTCATTGCAAGTATTCCATTATTGAAAATACACCCTAACATTGGCCAAGAAACTACGGAAAGTTGAAAACTCGTTTGAACGGAAAATATACTAATTTAATTTGATATAAATTAATAGAATACGTGTGTCACAAAATGAAGAAGGTCCAATGTGGGAATAAGTATGTTCAAAAATTATCTCCCTCTCAAGAATTAGAACTTAAATTTGTTGAACAAGAGTATAGAGAGCAATGATCCCCGCTCTGTCATCTATCATGAGATAGATTCAGTGCATCTTGAGATAGAGTCAAGTTTACCACAGCAGAACTTTTGGATTCAAAATTGGTAGGGTCGGTGATAATGAAAAATAATGTGATTGCAGCTTTCCCAACTATCCTTTTCTTTCTTTTCTGCTAATCTTCCTTAGTGACCTTTTTTTCTTGTCTGGGAGGGATTATCATTTATCAGCATTCAGTACTATTCCCTGCTATCCTTTTAAACAAACCAGACAAAACAAAAACAATATAGAAATATAGACAAGAAGAATATGAGATTCCCTAGCTAGAGAACAATAGCTTATGTTCACTGCTCTTCCTTCCTTTTGGAAAGTGGCAATCACAAATCCAGGGTCATCTCTTGCATTCCATGACATTGCTGGAACAGTAATCTCACGAGTTCTATCTGTTGAATATGGTGTGGCAAATTTAGTCCCACATCGAATTTTAAAAAAAATGTAAATTCCAACTATACTAAGCAATTACACATGGCATTTTCTAATGTGTACTTCGTTTGCCACATAAGACATGTTATTAACGCCGTTTAGGATTAGGGACTAAAACCAGAATAAGTTGAAATTTGGGGATCAAAAAGAGCAATTTCAAATTTTGGGGATGAAAAAAAGAATGATCTCAAATTTCAGGGACTAAAAACATATTTAAGCCAAAAATTAATTATTTTAAATTATTTTACTAGAATCTTATTGACAATTTACTATATGATCTTGATATTTTTGTATAACAAATATCTGATTTTAAATTTGATATGAAAATATTATGATATGGTTAGATAAGATTTTAAATTAGTATTTTATTAATGGTTGATAATTAAAAAATAAAATAAGGATAAATACATTTTTTAAATTTTATATCTTAGATTTAAGATAAATAAATATATTAAGTTAATAAATAATTTATTTAAAATGTATACAAATAAAAATTAATTAAATATAATACAATAATTATTATTGGTTAATATAATTAAATATAATATAATAATTATATATATTTTTATATTTTTATAACAGTCCGGATACACCAGAATGAGAGAGATCCAAAGATGGTACAAGTATGAGATTGTATAGTTGATGATGACTTAAAGAAATTAATTTATACTATCTATACTAACAAGATGCATCTACTTTTCAGTAGCTTATCTCATTAGAACTCCACAGTTACATTAATAAATTTATTAAAATTAAAAAAATTGACGGATTTATTCATCAAAATCACATAAAGATTTTCAAACAATACCGACAGATATATCCATCGGTAATTTCCAATGAATATTTATTACAAAATCATATGTCAGAAAATTTTGACGGATTTGCATCCGTCGAAAATCTGTCAAAAATTCTCTTTTTTCGATGGATATTCATTTTTATCAACAGATTATGTCCATATGAAATTTACATTTTTCTTGTAGTGATATAGTACGTGGCCTGTCCTAGTTATCATAGTAAAGGAATCATTACAAATAGTAACGAAAACTAAACTATTATAACATACAATATTAAAGGAGAGAACATGTCATGCATATATATAAAACATAAATATAAAAGTAAAACAAATATTCTAATATAGACAAATTATATACATGTATATAGTAATCCCAAAATAATCTTATATCCTAGTGCTGGTTGAACACAACTATACAAGCTATAATAGTAGCATTGACACCAACCAAAAAAACATCACCAACCTCCAAGCATGCAACTGTTCCTCTAGCCTAGCCTTGATCTGCTCTCATGCAACATATGATCATCATATGTCCAAACCACAATGGAAAAGAAGGGTAAGTTAGAGTTCAAAAACATATAAGCATAGAAACAATTCTACATGATTTAACATCATATCATAACCATACATGGAAGCCAAACACTCCAAGGCAAACATGTATCTCATCCAAACAATGTCACACAAGACATCCAACAACGCATATGAAACATGCCTCACTTTACCATTAAGGAATTTTAGTTATGCTTGCAATGTTGAGATTTTATTTTTCTTTTATTTTCTTCCAAGTGCATGAGAATTAATTTGTATTAATAATGGATAGAACATCATTGTTGGTTTTATCATTGAAGTGTAAGAATTGTCTTTGCTAGGGTTTTTCCTTAGACCATTTGATCTTATCAAGAATTTACTCAAATTCTTGTAGCGATCCTCTACGCTTACCAAACATCATTGTTTGTGGCGCCTATCTTGTTCTTCCTTCTCCATTTTCTATTACCTTGTTTATTTTCAAATTGTCAATTCTGGATTTTTTTTCCTGAATTTCTTATTTTCATATCTCTCATTACTTGTCCTTTTTCGATGTTTCTTGGGTTCAAAATGCACTTCAAAATGTCTTATTTCACCTTGTTTTGGAATTGTTCCAATCTAATCTCTATAGGCTAAGATATGTAATTAAATTAAAATGTGTTTTGAGCTCAATTTGTGCACGAGTATCATCCTAAAAGGGTTTGAATTTGAAGTAGAGCAAGGGGATTCATATCAACATCATCCATACATGGCATATCAATGCTCTCCAAAATCATACATCATACAGTCATCTATATATATCATCCCAGAATGATATACATGGAATTATACTCCTCATACACCCTATTACATGTAATAGAATAAAATAATCTATTCATGTTCATCATACAATTTCACCAAAACACCAACATATCATCCAAGCATCATATGTTCGATGCAACATACCTCGTGCCCGACGCCATTAAGGCATGGAGCTCTCTGTCTTGCTCACACCCAATGCCATCCAAACAGTGCCTAGTGTAATCAAGGTGAAGACCCCTTGGGACCTCACGCCTAACGTGGCAAAATCCACGTCCAACCTCATATAAGGTGAATAGTCTCTGCCTGATTTACGCCTAGCATTACCTCAACGATGTCCAACATCACCAAGTTAGAGACTTTCATACTCTCACACCCAATGTCATTCAAACCTCGCACAGTGCCATCTCAACCTAAGACAAGTCTCTCTCCTCATGCTTGACGTCATCAATCTTGTGTTCGACATGATCGAGACAAAGATCTTTGGTTAGACATGTTCGACATCAATCTCTAATACTGGAATAAGTCACCAACCACCAACACCTAAGCTTAATACACATGTATGTTCATTATATATAATTAAAATTTATGTTAAATTATATATAAATAAATATTATATTTGAATATATAAATTATATTTAAAATTAGTATATATAAATATTTTTAAACATATAAATTATATTTTAGATTTATGATAAATAATTTGTATAGTAACAAAATTTTATTTTATTCATTGATAATTATTTTTAAATTTAATAAACATGATTTCATACAAAAAAAATAAAATAAAATGAGTGATCAAATTCTATTTTTACCTTACTTTTATTTACTAACTTTGGAAGAAAAAAAAAATTAAACACCAAGTGATTATTATTTTTTTTAAAAAAAAACAACATTTTCTTAAAATATATTGAAAGTCAAATTTTGATTTATGCTTGTTTTTTGGATTTTATTTCAGATTTCAATTATTATTTAGAAAATTTGAAGAAAATATATAAAAAAGTTTGTTTCTATTCTTAAGTAGGAATGAAAACATGATAAGACGAGTACGAGTTTCACTATTTTCGTTTCGTTCTTATTTTCATATCTTATATTTATCCTTGTTTGCATATTTAATAGGTATGAAATTTGTGTCTTTATTCCATTTCTGTTAGGTATTGAATATAGTTGTATTAACTTTGTACTTCTAAAAAAAATTAATTATATATTTTTTGTAAAATATATTTTTAAAAAAATAATTTTTACATAAAATAATAATTAAAAATTACATTAATTAAGTTTCATTTGATGTAAATTTAAAATAGAGTAAGAATTATATAAATGTCAAGTAA